AAACGTGCACCTGGCTATGAGAAAACGCCGATGAATAAATTTGTGTGACGGTTAACCTTGGATTGTTGACTCACCGAACACTCTCTAACTCATTTGTATACATCCTTTTGTAAATCTGACCATATCTATCTGGCACTGATTAGCTTAGTCGAATCTTTTGCACCAGGATGAGATAAGGAATGAAAGTTAATAAATATTAATTCTCGCATACTTCTGGGGACGAAAGGTCATGGCATTAATTAAAGTACCGTCAATAGGTGATGGTAACTGCTTTAGTTTGAGACTAGACTTGTTTGCTGAAGGTAGGTTTCGTAATTCTTGACCCTCTTCTTGTCTGTCTCTTAATGTCTCGAAATTTACTGTTCTAATCGAGATGGTGCATCTGCTGCTTGGTTTACCTGATATCACTTGTGAACTTCGGTATAGAGTCAAGGTGTTGGACTTCTCGAGGCGAGTATTTATCGGCTCTCGCTTTTAGTGCTTTCGTCAGTGATTTGTGATCCGTAAAATTATAAAGTCCCTGCCTTAAACATGTGTCGGAAATGCGTAATGTTTAGATGGATTGCAAGAGGTTCTCACCCGAAAGTATAATACTATGTCTCTGCTGGAGTGAGTCTTTTTGAGAATGCAATTGGTTTCCAGGCGTTTTTAACCAGTTGGCTAAGGGTACCGCCTAATGCTTTATGTGATGCATCCATCATCAAAGCAAGTGTGGAAAGAGAATTTGGAAACATCAACGTAGATGCTTGAGCCAGTTTGAATTCATTTGATTTTCCTCTAAGTGAATCTTTCAAAGGTCGCATTAGTTGTGCACAACCGCGTATGAATACGCGATAAAAGTTAATTAGACCTAGAAAACTTCAAATTTGTGTTAGACAACTATCTGATTTGCTTGTAATATGGAACTAGTAGAGACAGTGTATTTCAACTATGAGGTTTGATTGAAACAGTATTCATACTTATCACAAACGCAAGAGAGTCTAACATTACAAAAAAGGGAGGGTGGCGTTCCTGACCAGCAAACTAGATGGTGGGGAACTAACTTCAATCCGCCTATGCTTCTCGTCCTTTTTTGTTTTTTGTACCATCTTTTAGCCCGCTTGAGATACGAAACGATTGACCTCGTCCTGCACCATTCTTACGGCCTCAGGTATCCCAAAGGGATATAAGATTGAGATTTCTAGAAGTCCCCAACTGCACATGAATCTATTGTAGACCATCAGTTGCACGTCGCAACTCAACTTTCATGAAGCGCGCCGACTGTGATACTGACTAAAACCATCTACATTCATATCTTATAAATTATTATTATTACCTGGACTACCCGATTAACGTATCAAGGTATTATAGATGCTGTGAAGACTGTACAACACAGAGGACGTTACTACAGAAATATGTTAGTTACAGTAAATACAAGCTAAAGTAAAACCACCACCGCATGGGCAAGTCCACGGAGTACGATTAACTGATACGCGTTGGTTGTCCTTGTCCTTGACGAGGATCGATGATTCGATTGAAATTCAATGACTCAACTGCCGGATGATTTGGCTGAGGCTCAGTAAAATTTTACTGGTCCGACAATGCTGTCCGTGTGGTTGTAAATTGAGACTGGAAATTAACGAATCGTCTATATACCCCGTGTAAATGGTATATCTCGAAGTAGTTTATCCATGAGTCTTTGAAATGTTTTTGCCTCATTCCTCAGATCAAACGGCATGCGTACAAACTCAAATAGGCCAAAAGGTGTAGTAATAGCTGTCTTGGGGATATCTTTATTAGCTACCGGGATATTGTGATATTTTCTGAATAAGTCTATTTTAGTAAACATGTTCATACCCTGTAAACCGTTTGTGAAATCTTGGATTTGCGGTTTTGGGTACCTATCTGGTACGGTTTGAAGATGTAAGGCCCTGTAAACTCCACATGGTCGCCAACCGCTTTCAATTTTCCTTGGGATCATATGGGAATTGGATGCTCATAGACTATCAGAGGGACGTACAATACCCAGTTAAAGCATGTGGTCAAACTCAGCTCTAGCGAATTTGAGCTCATCTGGTGCCAGGGCATGTTAAGCACGGCGTTTTCACTCGTGATCTGTTGCGGATACATGTCCGAGCGCCTTCAGCTAGGTGAGTCCATTAAAACTAATGTGGTCAGCATCCAATGTCGAAGACTTACGGAGCTATTTATTTTGGGGATTTATTAACCGCTACAGATCACTCTCCCCCTAGTGCGGTAGTGATGACCCTAAGACGTGATCAGCTAGAAATGTAAACCCAGCGAGTTTGTTGCTGTCAAACACTCTTCTGATAGCTTGCTAGGTTTAGCAGCGTCTGGTGGTCTTTCCTTAATATAACGGACCATGTAGTACAATATAGTAATAAAGAAAGGTACAATGAACATTTCGTTTCATCGCAAACTTCGTCGTTCTTTTTTGTCTTTTCCAGCCGTCTTGTAAAAGAAAAAAGGATATGTAAGTGCATGTCGAAATATGCAGTGGCATCGGATCATAACCACACAATCCTCAAAGCTGAACACGAGACTACTCGGAAAATAGATATTCAATATTTAACGCGGAGGAATACCCAACAATGGGGAAGGAGGGAATAACGAACTGAATAAAGGAGTTGATCGGATGGCATGGCTTGGCCTTGCAGGCGTGGCACCATCTAAATGTTATCTTGTGTCTTCTATTCATATTAGATGTATTCTATCTCTAGCCTAAGCTCGTTCTCTATCACGTATTGGTAATAGTTACAATTCAATGAGTTGGTGTAGACGATGAAGTAACTTCCACGTAAGATCTTACAGATTAGGCAGTTACATCATGATAAATCTACAATTTTAGGATTAGGTCTATTATCATAGTAGACCATAACTCTATAAATACACTTGTACGCGCGCAAAGACACGAAGCGGGCGAAAAAGGGAAAATAAACTCAGTGTGTGATGACGTAAAAGAGATTTTTAAGGATTTGTTGTGTTTTTTCAAAAATATTAAATATACACATGTTAGCAACAAAAATTTCTTTTTGGAATAAATGTAGAAGTACTGGCATATTAAACTTTTTATTAGATATAATAGAAAAGAAAATCGAGATGGAGCAAAGTGTTAACTGGTGTCGTATATGTAATAATCGTTCAAATGTTCTAGAAATTTTACTCTTCTTCCAGAAGGCGTTGTCTCAAGTTTATTTTCAGATGCCGCCAGTGTATCAACATGCGTGTTGGCTATCGAATGAGGTATTACAAGTGTAGCGGTCGTCTTGTTTGATTGTACCGAAGGAAAGTCGATGTGGATAGGATTTCCCTTTAAATACTCTGCTTTGAGGCGATTGATGTTGATGGTATCGTTAGCTTCGTTCTTATCGACTATAAAGTGCTTGGGTTCGCCCAGAAGAACTTTGAAGGTTCCTTTGTATGCTCATTCGAGAGGTCGTAGATGTGAGCCTCGACGAACGAAAACGTGTGTACTGTATCGTAAATCAGGTTGAACAAAAACATCAGTTGATGAAGGTTGAGTGGAAACACGTTTAACTGGACGCATCGCGTTTGTAAACCTATACGTGTAGGAGGTTAGATCCGTGTTCATTGAAGAAAGTGAAGGATCCACAAATTCTCCTGGGAGTCGGAGTGTCGCTCCATAAACGAGTTGAGCCGCAGTAAATCCAATGTCAGCTTTCACTGCATTGAGAATACCCAGTAAGACGAGCGAAAGAGTGTCAGTGAACTGAGAACTGTTTGCGGATTTTAGTGACGCTTTAAGTTGTCAGTGAAAACTTTCTACCAACCCGTTTGCTTGTTGGTGCGAGGCGGTATTTCGGAAGTGAGTGATTCCTAATAGTGTGGCCGGACGACGGAAATGTTCAGATTCGAACTAGCGTCTACGATCTGTAGTGATGTTTGAAAGGCAGCCGATGTTTGCCACCCATCTTTCGGCGAAGGAACGGGTCTCTGTTTCAGCAGTAATTTCCTTGATACCTACCGCTTCTGGCCATCGAGTCAAATGGCCTACGCGGGTTAAGAGATAAGAGTATGCATTTGAATCTGGTGAAGGTCCTATCAAAACCAGATGAGCATGTTCGAATCGAGCGTCGAGAATTTCGAAAGAGCCTAAGAGACGTTTGTTATGTCTAATAACCTTAGATTTCTAGCAGCTTATGCAGGAGCATGTCCACTTCCTCACGTCTTTATTCATACAAGGCCAGCAAAACCGTTCTGCCATGAGCTTGATTGTGGCACGAACACCCGTATGAGAAAGCTTGTGCAAAGTATTGAAGACGTTGCGTCGATAACGTTTTGGTACGATTGGGAGATTCCCACCCGTAGATGTGTCACAAAGTAAAGTTTTCTTTCTTGTTCTCATCTGTTTAATTCGCAGTTTAAGGGGTGTTGACGGTAACTCCTGCTGAAGATCAATGCATTCATCTTGAAGCTGGGCGAGTTCAGGAAGTTCAATTCCTTGGAAACTGTTCAAGGACTTTATTCAAGACAAGACGTGTGCAACTACATTGTTTGCGAATGTGTGTATGCGAGAAAATACAGAGGTGAATTTATAGTCAAATTGAGTAAGGCACAGCTTGGCAAGTGAAAGGCTAATAATAAGGTTCGAGGACATGGGGAAGACAATCATTCATTGAGCGATATTTGAGCTATCAACATTTATGCCAGAGAGGTATGTGCGTGGCTGTCATGTGATCAAGCGTACTCGTTTATACAGATAACATACTGGTTATAACAGTACAAAGAAATAACCGAATGGTTACTGTTTGAATAACATTGTCTGTCAGTTAAGTTAATGAAAGCGCTCAACAAAATTTAGCCACAATCGGATTTGATTGTAGAAGCGTTGCTATTAATGTATAATAATATGGACAAAATCAACTGATGGTGTTTCAAAGTTACATCGAAGATGCTTAACACAATGTTACATTCTCATTATTGGTTCATTACAATAGTATCAATGTTAAATTATCAATTCAACGATTTGATTGAAGTTATCAACAATGAGCAAATCTTGTTTTCCATGGGACGAATTTCACTTTGTGTAGCATAAGTATACCACAAACCATTGAAGTTATGGCCATTGGTAAAAACATGACCAGTATTGAAATAATGTAAGTTAAATAGCATTGGAGTTTCGCGTCAAGCATTTCTGCGCAACCCTGAGGAAAGGAAAAATGTCAAAATTACATATATACATTTATACATACACTCTATTTGATTAACATTTCCATAGAAGTTCACAGTGAGTACGTAATGTTCCACAAATCAAATGAACACATCTAAGGAGACAATTCTAAATGGTTCCCACCATTCAACACATTTCCAACAATATTTAGATACGTGTTTCGACAAAGTGTTATTGTTAGGAAGGAGTGGTGGTTGTCAGGTCATTGTTCGTGTATACCAATTACGTTGTCATTTTCATGGTTTTAACATCCTTTATATCCTACTATTGTTTGTGTATTAATTCGAAATAAATTCCGTTTACCAATAACACTGCATGCAAACTTATGTATCATTGAATGAGTCTGTTGGGAAGAGGTCTTTCAGGTTTGGATGCACAAATAAATCATTTGACAGAAGTGCTCATCTTCACCCCACACCTCTAGTCATTTCAAGTTTTAGTTCTAAGCCGATCACAATTTTCGGTTTTCACATCACTAGTCTAAGTTAGAAGAGTCTTTTGCAAGTTGAATTGAAATCCATCTTGATCTACTTATACCAGTTTAGTCCCAAGATCGAACTTGACACTTTCAAATAAATTGAGTATTGAGTATTGAGTTGATAATCAGTATACTATTTGTGATATCCCAGTGAGTTAAAAATTGTATTTCTGAAGTACTTTGACTTAATGTAGGTCACTTCTTCAGAGCAAATCAATGACCAAAATGTAAGTTACATAACTGTAAAAAGTACAGAGGAAACAATGCAGAATATTTTTAGTACTAACAGACTCGATTTAATAATTGTCACAAGGATATCACTGAAAGCATATTTAAACATAACCATCCTTCTTTAAGTAAAGATCCTATTGAAAATTCTTGAGTTGGTACTGGGGTTTTATCTCACCGTCAAGGTACGACATAAGAAATACATAGGATGTTAAGTACGAACAAAATTAAAGCCCTCTATAAGACAACCAACATTCCAAGGAACGCTTTAGCTAGAATAACAGATGAGATCTTATTCATATAAACACGAAATTGTTTCTACAGATTAGGCTTGGTCGATTGTGATGCGCTATACATTCAAACATCTTTCTGTGAAATCTCGAATCGTGACAAGGAACACGTCAGTCACACGAAAGCGCATAACACAGTAGAGTTGGAAAATTTACGGGGTAAATCAGCAATTGCAATACGATGTTGACATTTCGCATCGCAACAAAGCATAATTAGAACATCTCAACAAGTACAAATACAAACAGAGTCATCACTCAAAACAAACAGAACCGTGTTATCGCATATGGCTAACATATAGCCAGTGATTAGTGTATGTGTTTCACAGGAACCACTAAGTGTTTTTATGTATGCAAAAAATGATAAAGCGTTTCCTTTTACTGAAAGAAATCTACAAAAACTATATGTTTTCATACTGTTTTATATATCGTGGCCTAAGGAAGTCATTTGGCTATACCGCAAAAAAGATTTATAGACGGGAAGAAGGAAAACCTAATAGAGATTAGCTAAAATGTCTATTTAGACATCTCAGAAAAGTGAGAAAGGTCAAATCATTTCCTTTTATTAATTTTCTCCTGTAACTTTACGCCATCACAACTATTTGTTTAAATTCAGCACTGAGCATGCCAAAGTCAATGCGGTCAGTTTATGCTAAATGCATATTACAATGACAATTGTCAAGTTTTAAAATGTATGAAGCAATACATAGATAGTTGTGCATTTTTGTATGCACATGTTTACATCATTTCTAAAGGGACATGAAAAACGTCCATCAATGGTTTACAGGGAAGTATTCCACAGTAACACACAAATTGTCTGATAAATTACAAAACTGTTAATCAGCACTTACTTCGTCATGCGGTATTTTAGCTTTGTCAGGATAACATGAAACTGGTACTGAGAGATTATTCACAGTATAATCCATGACTGAATCTGCACCACAACATTTATGCTTGAAAAATACATGAATTACAAAACAGTCTCTTTTCAATAGTAATTTACCTGTAATTGTATTGTGTTCACAAATGCTGCATAACTATTTTTCCGCGTATACTGGTTGATAGAATCTTTGATAATATCTCGAAACATCATCTCCATCTATATATTGAATATACCGTATTAAACAAATGCTTGTATAACGAGTGAATAGCATTCACTTGATTGAAATCATTACCTTACTACGTAAAATGGATGTCGTTACAATAACAATGATACTGGTTGATGCAGCCACTATCAACAGTACTGTATACTATAGTCACAAAATCAATATTAGTTCACAACAGCATTCAACATTACAATCGCATTGATTTTTCGACGTCCAGTTAAAACAAATAATATGCCATTACTACCAAGTGAGAACAGAAGACATCCAAGTGCTATCATGATAAATGTCAATGATAACATATGCACTGGCATATTACGTAAAAATGTACTCAGAAATAGATGTACATAACTGCCCATCACAATTAAACACATGCCAAATACCTAAAAGGAAAACAAACAAAAAAATAAACAGTATTTGAAACAATTAGTCCGTTTGATCAATGAGAAGACCCAATACATTTAGAACAATCTGATCACACAGTAGATACTTGTTAAGACATCTATATATAAATAATTAAAAGATCAACTAAACAGGTTAAAGGTAAGCCATGATTAACACTCTAGATAGTAAATCAGTATAACCAGGGGAGATGTTAAGGTTAAGGACAAATTGCTTTTCAACGCATCAAAGGGGTTTCAGTTTCCGTTTAGTGAAGGCTTCAATAAACCTTAGTATATATCCTTGAAGACTTTTGCTATAACACTACATAAGCTGACTTGATATCAACCTGATGATCAGACTACATGAAATGTTTCTCAAATGGAAGATGATAATGTCTGTCTATTCTGTGATCTTATTTCACCTAGTGTAATCAAATTGTTCAATATGTATGGCGCAAATAGTTCATTACATAATTCTGATAAACTTTCTTTTCTCATCGCATTATCCACATAATCAGTAATCAATGTTATAAAGAATAATGAAACACTATGAATGATGTTTCATGACAACAGAACACTTACTAAATTTAATGAATTAGACACAATTAAAAATCTCTTCGACCATTTATATTGACATTCATCTGATGGTTTCTTACACATTCTGATATACAATGGTAGATATATAGAATAATTTGTCAAGTTGATATCATCCAATTCACTGTACGTTCTTTTGTTCTTCTCTTTACTTTATAACTGATCATATAATATAAAATATCAAATTATACATTAGTCTATTGTCATCATTATCTTTTATTAATAATGTTCTTATATATTTCATTAATGTTTATCATTGATTTCTTTCATAGATTTATAACCTTGATCTATTGTGGAATGTGGTTTGCATGGAGATAATAAAGAATTTGTTTAATCATTAGTTGAATCAATGTCACAGATTGTTGTGTCAATAATAACTGATTTTGTTTTATTTTGTCTAAAACTATCTAAACAAAAGAATCTGAAAAAGACCAAAAACAACAACAACAACAACAACAACAATAACAACAACAATAACCACGGCAACAACAAGAAAAGAAGAAAGGAAAAAAAGAAAAAAGATCATTGTACAAGTTCATCCAATATTCACTTATCTTTTGTTTTCAAATCATCTAATATCATTATGTAATACCGTTTTCTGTTTCTTTTATGATGTAATTAATTTGGAATGATATAAACAATAATATAATTAGTAGTAGTTATAATAACCTATTATCACCTCATTATTAATGAATAGGATGTCAATGTTTATTCAAGTCTTATACACTATTGTTATAATATCAAAATAATATTGATATGATTGAATGAAGAAGATTCTCAATTTCATTGAATTTTCTTCATTTTCTATTACAACATATTCAAGTGATGAATAAACCAAATTCAGGGGAAAGTACATCATTTAAGATTATATTATAGGATTATGAGAATAAGTAGTTACTTACTAAATTACGCCTGTTACTCCTCATCATTCTCTAACCCACTATGTCCTGGGCCTTCTTTTCTAGTTCTATCCAATTATTCTTCATTCTTCTCATATCTGTCTTCATTTCTTGGAGTGATGTATGCTTTGGTCTTCCTCTCTTCTTCATTCGGCCTTCTAGATTCCATGTGAGGGTTTTCCTTGTGACACACATGGGTGCTTTCCTCAATGTTATTCCTATCCACTTCCAGCAAGTCTTCCTAATTTCTTCATCCGCTGAGATCTGGTTTGTCCCCTCACACAATAGGTTGTTGCTGACAGTATCTGGTCAACGGATCTGGATTATTTTGCGTACACATTTGTTAATAAATACTTTTATCTTCTGGATGACGTCTTTTGTAATTCTACAAGTTTCTGCCCTATACATTAGAACTGTATTGAAACTGCTGACATTGGTGCTGGCCTACAGACAGTTGTTTTGAGTTCCAGATATTCTTCAACTGCAAATATTCTGCTCTTGTTTTGCCGATCCGCGCCTTTACGTCTGCATCAGATACACCGTATTCATCAATGAGGCTGCCCAGATATGTAAAGGTATTTTCATCTTCCAATGATTTAATAACTAGAATAAACATTGATTACAGGGTTCAGTAAATAATAATAATAATATTAATAATAATAATAATAATGTGTTTACAAATGAGATCAATTGTTTGGTGATAGATTGCATGGTTGATTACCTCAATCGGCTTGTTTGATTGCTTTCAAATGAATGGTTATATAAACAAGTAGTATAGTGGAGTAAACATCAGTAGGTAGTTAAAAAACAAAACGTTGCATCACTTAAGTGAGGTTACCATGTCGATAAGCATTACATCGTATGTCGTTTTGATGCATAAGAATCTAGTCCAAATCTGCTGATGATAATAGCCCCTGTAAAACGAATTTATTTAATTCCAAACATCGTTCGTTTTTCTCCCTGTCTTCGAATTTATAAAGAGAGCAAGTTGCATAAATTCACTTCACAGTAACAATTATCATACCATAAATACTGATTAGCTTACAAATAGCTTAAATGGATTCTTAGTAAGGAATCGTAAACTGTGTCTGTAAGCTCACTGGGAGCAAAGCAGTAACTTATTACATGAGAATAGGCCGTTATTCCAAATCCTCATTGCAAATAATAGCCTAATAACACACATATCTTAGTAATTTCCTGTCTGTATGCTCCGACTAGCATCTGAAGTGCATTTGTTTCCGGCTCCAGATGGTTAATCACTGAATGATTGTCAATAGTTATCAGCTAGCCACTCATATAAAGCAATTTTAAGACTACTGAGAAGTGTTCAATATATGATTCTTAGGGATTTCAGTGCACTCTTGTATGACGCGTTATTAAGTTTAAGATTGAAGCAAGAAGTTGTAGACCTACATATATATTTATTTAGTTTGAACTCACTAGTAAAGTTCCCTATAAGTCATTGTCGGAATGTTTACACCTGATTCGACTCAAACTTACTTTATCCGGTATCCGAGTCAGAGACTTCTTCGAGACTATTTGGACTACTGGTTTTCTCTTATAGAATTAAGATATCAACATTGATTGATCGCTCTTAATTAACTGCTATCATGTCTCTCTAATCCTGTAGTGATGGTCGAGTTCTATGTGACTACCACTCTTGCTGATGCAATATTATGGTAAACACTGTTTCGTAGTAAACAGTTTTGACAAACACTAGATGCTTACACACTGACTATTCTTAAAACAAATGTTCAATCAGTCATTGGTTTCTCACATTTTCATCGAGTTTGTTACAAGTGGTTTCATCATTCTAAATTTTAAAAAATATAGGCGGTTAAGCACTAATTCGCAAGAATTTCATACTGTGTCAGCAGCATTGTACTTACATAGTTATGTATGCCCATTACATACTACTTCTATTGCTATGTCACTTCAAAATACCAACATAATTTCATTAAAACTAATTGCAACAGATCGAACCAATTTTCTTAACCACGTTAAACTTTGATTGTCAATCAATTAAAATAAACTAGCTGTTCTTATTTTCAAAGAAAATTGAATAGTAAACGATGTAATGAATTGCTGAATTAAGATCTCATTGTAGTTACACACTTTTGGTTTTAAATGGCTGAATAGCTAAAGTTGATCTCTGATGAAAAACTACAATTTTGCCTTTCTAGACTGAATTACGGTGGACTTTTACACATTGTCATTGTGCATCCTCTAAAACAACCCTGAAACCTAGAAAAAAGACGATAAATGATCACGATTCTCCTTCACGGGTAACTCGAACAAAAATCAAATCCATTTGATAAACATAAATGTTATTCCACTGGTTTGCTGTAATTACAATCATGTCATCTGGTGATTTAGTTTGCTACCTCTCATGTTTGAACTCACTCTCACGGCTAATTGGCTAAACGAAGTTTAAGAGTTGTAATGGTTCAAATTTACACTGCTGACTACTAATAGGAAAACGTGCATCAAGTGGCAGTACATTACCGCACTTCATCATTTTTTTCTCTAAAGCTAAGGAATAAGAACACACCACTCGGATTCACAAACAGAAGTTTTTATGATCATCATCACAAATGTATTGTTGTTAAATAACTATTGAAAATCAGTAAGCACTCGGTATCTGTTTCGCCCAGAAATGTGACTCCTTAGCAATGCTCATCTACTAGTGACCAAACACCAGACATTTAGTCTCATGCACAGACGTACATTTATCTCGTGAAACAAATAGAGTGGTCTTAAATTAACGAACACCGTTTTCTCTAACTCCATCTAAACCTGTTTATTTAATATATTCCAGCGATCAAGTCATAATACTTACGTGTTTGAGTGAGTTTCAGGTCTTTAAGATGATCAAAGTTTAAACGAGTAAAATGATCAAAATGATCGACATTATCGTAACATTATTTGTCAATGGATTGTTTTATTTAGAACAAGTTCGAATGCTTCTAATCTACATTTATTAATTGTCAAATGTGAAGTTACAGAAGTAGTAGGATGTGAAGTGTCTATACACTTTGCTAACACAACTCCACATTTGGTAAGAAGCAGCGTATCGGTATAAATCATTCTAAGTGACCAAGAAAGACAAGTGAAAGAAGA